TCTATCCGTGGAGTGGAAGTACTAGTCCATTTAGATACCATATCCCAGTTTAACTTGATACCACACTCAGACACGTAATACCGACTCCGAACTGGACAGTCCTTGTTTAACCCTTTGATTCCGAGTGCCAGATAGTTAACAAGTAACATCTTCCGACGTATATAAACTAAGCGGCAAAAGAAAGTATAGGTTGGTAATTTGTGATTTTCCTAAAACAGCGATAACTAGTGGAAAGTGGGTATTGGGAATATGACTGCCCCGGAACAAGTACCAAAAAACACCTCACCCGAACGCGCCACCTTTGACGGCGCTCGTGCGGTGATAAAAAAAAATGGTGAAACAGGTTTCCCGCCTATGGCATAAACTGCACGTGCATGTTAGCTGTATAAATGCGTTCGTCTGCAGGTTATAACCACGAACCAAAAAAAATGCCACGACTGTCACAGGAGCAGAGAGAGAGAGAGAGAGAGAGAGAGAGAGAGAGAGATACATCTATGGCCGAAATGGGGGCATTACAGGTCCAAATTGCCAGAAGGTTTGGTTGTACACCATTGACAGAAGCCAGGCTGATTCAACGGCTCATTCACCTTCGAAACAGATTCGTAACGGCGACGGCGATGGCAGCAACAGCGTTGGGACATCCCATTAGCCAACGTACAGTACTACGTCGACTTCGTGCTACTGGAATCCGAGCGTATCGTCGTTTCCGAGGAATGGTACTGACTGCTCAACATCGACGCCTGAAACTGCGATTGGCGAGGAAGGTTAGACGCTGACAAGTGAGAAATTGGCGTCGAGTGCTGTTTACTGATGAAAGTCGTTTTTTAACATGTTTCGAAATGACTGCAGTGAACGAGTTTATCGACGCAGAGGGGAACGTTTGGCTCCGGCGTGTATTCGAGAGGTCCATCCATTCGGCGGGGGAGGTGTCATGGTGTGGGGCGGTATTTGTGGAGATCAGAAGACTGATTTGGTGATTATACAGGGAAACCTGAACGCTGTGCAGTACAGAGACCAAGTGTTGCAGACAGTTGTGCTTCCGTTCTTACAAAACCAACAGCAGGGGACATTGTTTCAACACGACAATGCCAGGCCCCATACTGCAAGACTGACTCGGAACTTTCTAAACCAGCAGAACGTTGACGTTTTGCCCTGGCCTGCCCACTCACCCGATATGAATCCTATTGAACATCTGTGGGACCATCTTCACAGACAGATTAGAGCACGCCATCAGCCAAGAACTGACAAGAATTGCAGCAGGCCCTGAGAGACGAGTGGCAACGGATTCCAGTCCACATCATCAGAAGACTGACGTCATCGATGAGGCGGCGTATCACAGCATGCAGCTGGAGGCAGCTGGAGGCCATACACGCTATTGAAGGCAACTGTGTCGACAATGAACTTGTAGTGTGTCTGACAATTTTTTGGTGACATTTCAGACTTTTGAAAATGAATTTTCTTACCCCACCATTGTTTACCTTGAGCTTATATTACCTGTGATTGCACAATTTCATCCAAACTGTGGTTGATCAATCATTTGTTACCCCTCCCCAGATTATATTATAATTCACAGCAAAACCACTTCTTGTTATGTTTTTATCGATCATGGAACTCGACCTATACTTTCTTTTGTCGCCCAGTTTAGTTGAAAAAAACTCTCTTAAAGGGCTGCTTTGAACACGTCGCCTGTGCGCATGCGCACTTGTATTTTCGTATATTTTGTATTATTGAATAGATCATGAAGTCAACTTGATCAACAACGAAATCGACACGAGACAGAAGTGTATTTTAAGGTTCATAAACGCCTTTTAAGTTTATCCCAATGATTCTATTTTCGCCCATTTTCAGATTCATAGGGCTGGCTGCTCTGGCGTAAAATGTAACCCTGATTTCAGAACAAATGTATCATTGGACAAGCTTAGCATAATCTATACATGTTACAGCGCTTTGTAAAGTGTATATTGTCTTAGTTGAAAGAACAATGCAGGAAACACTTAACAAAAGATATAAGATGTCAGAAAAAATAGTTAGAAAACTCTCTGAAAGGGCTGCTTTGACACATCGCCTGTGCTCATGCGCTCTTGTATTTTCGTATATTTTATGAAGTAAGAAACAGATCGCGATTCCTGTTATGCTGTGAGGCATGACGAAAGGTGCCCGATGAAGCCAACATAAAATATTGCTTTCCCTGCGTAATTTCAATTTTAAAGACTTTAATGGACAGATGCCATAACTATTATAGTCCATACGTCATAAGTCATTTTTCACTCATATAGTGCACCAAAAAAATTATGCATGTTTTACATACTCAATACTATGCTGATACCTCCTCAACGGTGATCGACCATGTGGTCCCTTCCATATATGACGCATCCAACATACATACCGCACTTTCTCTTCATTCCGATCTGAATGTCTTTGCAGGTGCAGCAAATGCTTGCTTGCATTTGGACGCTTCACGAGAGAATTGTATGTGTTAAATATGTGTGTTACATAAAATTCGACTTGTCATAACATTCAATAATTATAATGAATACCTGAACTAAACATATTGTTTCCCCAGGTTTCTTAGATAGAAAACATACATAACTCACAGGTTATACTGGGCTAAGTAGGACCGAGTCCACGAAGGGTTAATCTCTTACATCCCCCAGCATAACCTCGCAATTGTGTTTTATCCTACACATAATGCTCTGTCCTTGATAGACTAACGCTTAGTCTCTGGAAATACATAATTTTAATTGAAACAATTACTACATATAAACTGAAAAGAAGCCCCAGTGATATGGGAAAACCTAGACTTGCTTCATATAACGCTGTCGCATTACAGTAAGTTAGTGAGTTGGGTTTAACGCCACTTTTAACAGTATTCCAGTTATATCACGAGGTGTCAGCTTAATGTGGGAGGTAAGCCCAAAGATATGCAGGTCCCAGACGTTTACCACTTCGGTGAAACCCACGAGCACAGGTATAGTGCTGACAAACCTAGAAACATAATCGGGCGAACCCACAATCATAGGCTTCTGGCGTGCCCAAGGGACGCAGCTCAGCACAGCGAGTCGCGGCGCCTTAGACGACTGGGCCACCCGTGACCGCGGGGGGTGGACGGAAGGGACAATACTATGGTTCAGGAACAGTGAGACGTCTTTGACAGATGCTGATTCCCCAACTCAGTTGTGGAGCAGTGTTGAGAACAAAACAGGGGAATGGTTCTGCCAAGTACTGGTATTTCCATTCAGTAGACACTGGGAAAGAATTGAATGTGAATACAATATTTTATCAAATCTTGTACAATAATGCAATTTTGAAAATGAGGTGTTATGTCCTGGCGACAAGTTTGGTGCCCAGTGACTACAAATGTATAGATGAAAAGAGACTGTTTCTACATGTAACAAGACTTTACCACTAACGCGGCTATATGCCCCGCCCCTGCTGCAGAATTTATGACATAATTCAATCTAAACAAACCCTTACCTTTTTTAACCGAGGTGGAACTTGTCATGGAAATTGTAAAAAAAGAAGAGTTTGGAACCTAAGTCCATCTTGTTGGCATGGAAACGTAAAAAAATAAAAATTTCTTAAATTTCTAAATAGCAAAAGCCACCAGTTCAGCATGTACCTGACAGACCTGCAAAGTTTGATGAAAACAAATTGAACGGTTTATGAGTTATGCTCCGGAAACGAAACATGACGGATGGACGGACGGATGGAGCCCGTTTCTATATCCCCTGCCAACTTTGTTGGGCGGGGGATAACAAGAAGTTTATTTGTGGAGGTCTTCGCCAGGATATAACTCTGTATAATTTGTCCTTTTAACAAACTGTGAACAGCGCATTTAAAGGATATCAAATATGTCTTCACCTGTTTCCCCTGCAATGTTTTCATTGTATGTTTGATGGATGATGACCTTGAAACAATGACCAACTAACTGACCGAATGCGTGAAAATGCCACGCCCCCACTCTGCCTTTCCCGAGAGCAAATCTCTCAGCTGAAGATTGGCTGCCCAGACCGCCTGTCTTGGCGGCGTGACGTCATACCTGGCGATGCTGACGGGCTTTGTCCCCGACCTTGGCCTCCAGTTGTTGGCAGGAGGAAAGTGAGATGTTTACAAACATCAGCTGGGAACGGCTTGAACGGCTCAAGAAGCCAAGAGATGGGCCAGTCAAATAATACCGTTTCAATACCCACGCGCATTCTCAAAGTAGTGCTATAATTGTAATATTCATGTTACTGTGTTTGGATTTCCACAGAAATACCATAAGATACATCTACTGCACATAGTTAAATTACCCAGATATAAAAATCACCTATGTGGTCACGTGACCTTCGCCATGCCGCTCCCTGGCACCTGAATGTTGATTGGTTGGTTGTCTCTATTTCAAAGTTTTAGTTCTTTACACCACACACAGTAATGTTTAAAAGATAGATGTAAATAAGGCAGCAATCTAGTCCTTGACATGTCACAAGTTGCAATCACTGCAGATCCATGAAGATCCGGGGTAGAATGGGTCTTCAGCAACCCATACTTGCTGTGCAAGGCGACTCTGCTTGTCGTAAGCCGCGACTAACGGGTACTAGAACAAGGGGGGGTCGTCTTTCGGTCTGCATGTCGGAGGAAAGTGATGCTGGTGATATGGTTCCGACAAAGGATATTAGAACAAGGGGTGGGGGGGGGGGTCGTCTTTCGGCCTGCATGTCGGAGGAAAGTGATGCAGGTGATATGGTTCCGACAAAGGATACTAGAACAAGGGGGGGTCGTCTTTCGGTCTGCATGTCGGAGGAAAGTGATGCAGGTGATATGGTTCCGACAAAGGATATTAGAACAAGGGGGGGGGGGGGGGGGGGTCGTCTTTCGGCCTGCATGTCGGAGGAAAGTGATGCAGGTGATATGGTTCCGACAAAGGATACTAGAACAAGGGGGGTCGTCTTTCGGTCTGCATGTCGGAGGAAAGTGATGCAGGTGATATGGTTCCGACAAAGGATACTAGAACAAGGGTAAAGTATGTATTCAGTTTTTATTCAATATTCCTAGTTTTAATATTGACATACAGTACTCTGATGCTGACATAACAATTTCAATAAAATACCACAAAAGCTTCTCAGTTAAATACAATAAAAATGACAAGAACATACAAAATGGAATACTTAATGGAATTATTAGCATTTTGATACAGTTGTTGAAACATCTTCTTCTCCTCCACAGTGATCTCTTACAAATGCCTTGCACATATTCTGGATTAACTCTTGATATGCAGAAAATGTTGAATTGCTAAACGACCAGGTTTGAGTCAGTCCATTTCCTCATTGACTTAAAAAGTTCAGTAACAGAATTCTGACAATTCTAAAGACAATCATCCACAGCAGAATAGAAGGTACATTTTCACATAATACATCATAACATGGACTATTTAGTAAAAGACTGAAACAGATAAGTTGAGGCTCCCAATACAGACTCAGATGACACCTTGATCATCTGAAAAGATAAGTAAAACACATAAAATAAAATAAAAACATCAATCCCCAAGCAAATTAATTCAGACTTGCAGCATTACCTAAGTGAGAAAGAGAATGTTCTTTTATGCACTAATCAGGAATATTACAGACATATGACTGGCCTTTAATTAATCCATTGAAAACCATGGAAACAAGGGCCTACCTTCAGAATACAGTAGCCCAAACTTACAAAATAGTCATAATAATGTTTTTGACAACTTGAGTAGTGATTCCTCTCCACTTGAGTGAGTGAGTGAGTATGGTCTTATGCTGCTTTTAGCAATATTCCTGCAATGTCACGGCGGGTCCTCTCCACTTGAGTGAGTGAGTGAGTGAGTGAGTGAGTATGGTCTTATGCTGCTATTAGCAATATTCCAGCAATGTCACGGCAGGTCCTCTCCACTTGAGTGAGTGAGTGAGTGAGTGAGTATGGTCTTATGCTGCTTTTAGCAATATTCCAGAAATATAACGTCGGGTCCTCTCCACTTGAGTGAGTGAGTGAGTGAGTGAATGAATGAGTGAGTAAGGTCTTATGCTGCTTTTAGCAATATTCCAGCAATATCACGACGGGTCCTCTCCACTTGAGAGAGTGAGTGAGTGAGTGAGTGAGGTTTTACGCCACTTTTAGCAATATTCCAGCAATATCACGGCGGGTCCTCTCCACTTGAGTGAGTGAGTGAGTGAGTGAGTGAGTGAGGTTTTACGCCACTTTTAGCAATATTCCAGCAATATCACGGCGGGTCCTCTCCACTTGAGTGAGTGAGTGAGTGAGTGAGGTTTTACGCCACTTTTAGCAATATTCCAGCAATATCACGACGGGTCCTCTCCACTTGAGAGAGTGAGTGAGTGAGTGAGTGAGTGAGTATGGTTTTACGCCACTTTTAGCAATATTCCAGCAATATCACGGCGGGTCCTCTCCACTTGAGACACCAGATACTCAACTTAGTTGAGCCCAACTGTGAGCAAGGAGTACAGAGGACCTCACCTAGAATCTCCATTAAATTCCCTTATCAATAATAACATCATTATTACATCATTAAAGAATAAATGAACAATGCTATGTCATCAACTATAAAAAATTGTGACTTCTTTGTCAGGTTAACACACAAAAGTATTCTTTGGAATGGTATAACTGTGATATCTTCTATGAAGACGGAATGGAAAGAACTGCTTGTATGTATGCCTGTTACTGTGACAGTGCAATCTCTCCTACAGAGCTGTGGGCTGGCTCACCTGGTCCGATGTGACTGCTGGGCAGTAGAGGGACTCTAGTCCTCGGTCCACTCAAAGGGCTCTGGGGGTTCAGGCTCCTCCTCTTCCTCAATCTTTGGTCCTCCAGCTGCAAGCATTCACAAGGAGGTCAGCCAACAATATATTGTGTGTGTCCTACATCACTTTATCTCAAGGTCAGCCAACAACATATTGTGTGTGTCCTACATCACTTCATCTCAAGGTCAGCCAACAATATATTGTGTGTGTCCTACATCACTTTATCTCAAGGTCAGCCAACAACATATTGTGTGTGTCCTACATCACTTCATTTCAAGGTCAGTCAACAATATATTGTGTGTGTCCTACATCACTTCATCTCAAGCATTCACAAGGAGGTCAGCCAACAATATATTTTTAGTACAATATGTCCTGCCTACATCACTACAAGAACAGGCATAGATCCTTCATCACTAGACGAGTCGTAAGCACATATCCTCCAGGTTTATCAATGCTATTTTTAGTTGTTTTACTTAATAATCAGCCACATATATTCCAGCAATATAAAATATTACTGTCTGACGTTTACCCATATGTTTAGGGATATGATAGGGATTTTCCCGATGTGTGTGTTTCTCGTGAGAAACATGGAGGCAAATTTGGCACTATTTGGTAAATGGGGTGTTTTTCACTCACTCAAAGATCGTATTCATACATGGCTTCTGAGATGTGAGACATACAAAGGACAGCAATCATCAACACAGATACACAAATATATTTGTATTTCCATGTGATCCATCACCAGTGTGCCAAGTGTCTTACCTGCTACTGTCTCCACAATTTCTTCATCTTCTCCTGGCTTGGTATTCTTCATCATAACAATGCCTCCGATTGTCAGCTGCAACATGAGATACCACATAATAACTGATATGTAGTTCAGCTACAAGAAACTAGGGGTGGAATTTGTAGAGAATGGTTTGCTTCATGACTTGACTGTGACTAAGATGGCTTCAATACCAATGGCATTACTTTCTTGGTTGGAATAATTTGAGCAAAGAGCAAACACATTTACTAATGATGTTGCTCAACGACACATTCTGCAATATATTCCAGCTATTTCATGGAAGTATATAATTGAGTTGCATCAGACAAGGCAGTGACTGGAAGCGTGAGCAAAGATCCACAGCGTGGGGGCATGATGACACACACTCAGCAGATGCTGACCACCCAATCCTCTTTAGCAGGCTCTTAGAATAACTCATCAGAGTCGTGGGAACTATTCAGACAAGGCAGTGACTGAACGAGTGAGCAAAGATCACACCGTGGGGGCATGATGACACACACTCAGCAGATGCTGACCACCCAATCCTCTTTAGCAGGCTCTTAGAATAACTCATCAGAGTCGTGGGAACTATTCTTCCCACAATCCCAGCATCAGTAGCACGACACCAGAAACTTGCACAAAGGGAGACAACCTCAGAAACATGGGGATGCCTGTTAACTGCATCTTGACATGATCAGCTAGACCAAGTATCAGCTATGTACTACAACAGGCCAATAGGATAGGCTGTATTGGACTCACATCTTTCACTGGTGTATAACGGATCTCCTCTCCCATCGACAGCACTTTCAGCTGCAAAAGAAAGACAAATCTTCAGTAAGGATAGGGTGGATGTTGTCAAGAATTTAACTATATTACATCAGTTCTGATTTGTCTAATGTTGGAGGACAGTATGGCCTCAATACAAACGGACAACCTTATACAATACAGTCAGCCAGGCATTTAAAACTGAAATGTTTGCTGAAAGAGTCAATGGAGGCTCTTTTTGAATAGTCAAAATAGTTATGAAATCAAAAACCTCTATTAAATGATGAAACTTCAAACAGCAATGAAGGCTTCTTGAAGATTTTTGAAATAAAAGCAATCCTGAAGTCAACGTTTAACCAGGAACACTTTGTACAGCGGTCATCAGTTTTATACATCAAGACATCTATCTGGACCTTGTGGCTTTTGTGAAGATACTTCGTGTATTTGGGGACAAGATAGTTGACCTACCTGGGACTTCATGACACGGGCGGGGTTAGCCATCAACTCAAAGGTTGGCTCGGGTTCCTTCTCCTTCTTCTCCTCTTTCTCTTCCTTCACCTCTTCCTTCTTCTCTTCCTTCTTTTCATCCTTCTTATCATCTTTCTTGTCAGCCTCCTTCTTCTTTGCTTCTGGCTTCTCTTCCTTCATTTCCACATCTTTCTCCTTGCCTTCATCTTTCTTTTCTTCATCCTGCACAAGTTGGAGAGTGAAACATCAAAATCACCATATGGTCAAGTGAACATGAAGTTCAAGGAGAAGATATGGATTGTAAGCAATATTAGAACGTCATTCAAACAGACACCAAAGATTTCAAGTAGAGTGAATTCTATTTAATGCTGCAATACTTAAACACTCTTGGTTGGGCACATCAAGGACCCACACTTTGTGGAGAAAACAAATAAGACACCAATGGAATATAGAATGCACTAAATGTGAACATTTATACAAGTATTGGGGCTAAAATGGATAGAATTTTCATTAAAATGCCCACATTATTAGAAATCTGTGGGCCACTGTAACGTGATAGCAGCCCACTTTTCCGATGGGCTGCTATCTATTCTACTGTTATGTGATGTCACTGGCGTCAGTTTTCTTTTTTGTGACGTCATCCTATATTATAATCTGTGACGATGCTAGTTGTAAATCAGTGACCTCTGTTTTAAGCTTTTTTTTCTCTATAATTTTTATTAATACAGTCACGAACGTGGTTTCCTTAAAAATATATGTCTTTGCACATCACAATTAATGATATTAAAACACAAAACAGTGTCGAATAAAAAAATTCTGTACCAGAATTTTCATGTGAAATATGTGAGGTGGGTGTTGGAAAATCCAAAATGGCTGTTACTGATGGTAAACGGTCTCATAATAGGTCAGTAACAACCATCTTGGATATTTACTGACGGTATACAGGCCCATATAGGGTTAGTAGTTCTGCTCTCTGATTGGACAATCTCCCTTTGAGGCATAATAATGACACATATTTGAGAATACTAAAGTACTCACGGAAATGAAAAAAACGCAGTTTTTTCGATCACCCCATTTTTTAAATAAATGCAGTTAATATACAAAATATATAAATATTCAAACGACTCAATTAGTACTAATTGGGCCTTGGCACAAATACAGTGTATCAAAGGTTTTTATGTCTTTTTACACGTAAAAGTGTGTAAAAATATGAACAAAACAGACTATTGTGAAACTGAGCATAACCAGGTGTTAGTAGATCAAGGTGAATGTCCATGACCTATGACACCTTGATGTGAGGTGAAAACAGGTGCTTGAAACCCACGTGCATGTGCTTTGTCAGTGGTTAGTGACTTGTGAGTGGCATTGTGGGATAGTGAATCATCGTCAAAATATCAGAACGTAAAAGTAACATATTCCCTTCTCAAACAACAACATACATGTCATTATTATTATGTACATAAACATAGCTGTTATTTTTATTGTTGTTTTGATAACTTTTTTGCAGGCTTATTTGCATAATGCCTATAGCCTGTTTCTGCCATGTCAATTTGGACTTAGTCTTATTTTTGAATGTTGAAAGTGCCTACAAATTACCTCCTGTAAAGAACATTTTGTATTGAGCACTGAGATAAAACTAGCAAATCCAGACTAGTACTTTTCCAGTTGTTTTGTTATTTCGTATTTACATCTACGTAATGTTTTGTGTCGATTATTAAATCCAGCAAAACAGGTTTGTTTTCATTTCCATGAGTACTTTAGTATACCTGCCCTTACCTGATTGAAATATTTACCTTATCAGATTGCAGAATTGTATTACAAAATTCACACTTCAAGTACCAGGATGTTCAGTGTTCAATAGCTACAGTGTTCATGTACTGTCAGAATCATTTACCAAGAGGAACAAGACTTACAACTTCCATCTTTTCATCCTTCTGTTTCTCTGCATCCTTCTTCTTCTGCTTGGCTGTGATGCTGAGAACGGCAGTCTCCACCTTCTCCTTGGTCTTGGTGCTCTTCTCCTCTAGGGGAGGTGGGTAGGCAAATGTTGATGGCTTGGCATTGGACTTGAACTCAATCTTGGGCATCTACAACATCAAACACAGTCCACCAATCTGAACATGCACCAGGGGATCACTGACCTGACATCTACACATTCTCGACCATGTCATTGCACCAATCATACTCCTAGTTCCACATGATGCACTTAAGATACTGATGTCAATTTAGGCCAACATATCTGCACTTATAGAAAACAAATCGTGTATTGAGCCATATTCTTATGACCGATGTGCGTTCCTGACTGGTCCACACCGTTACATGGGGTTTATACTTTCTTGTCGAATGAACATTGCTAACTACCAACAGTTGTTGTGTTCCAGCCATCTTCATCATTTCCATGCATAGATCTTTCTTTATTTCCTTCTTAGAACTCAAATATTGTGATGATCACATACATCAACAAATATCACGAAGACATTTCAATCCATCAGCGAGTGTCACTGTGACAACAACTGTCTACGTATATGTTACCTTGAGGTCTGAGTTGAGTCCTACCACACAGTTGGGTGTGAAGGAGAGAGACAGGAAGTGAGTGAGAGGATACCAGAACCAGTACTGGCAGAACACCAGCAGACCAACCACGGCCTCCATGTTGGTGTGTCCTGTGCGGGACTGCAGGGAGACAGTTGCATTGCGGCCTCCTGAAACACACATGTGTACACACATCAGATAGTCAGAAGACATTTACTGGAAGCCTTTCTGACACCAATCAGGTTTTTCTTGGCCTCAATAGAAAGACTACACCAAACTGTTCACAGCCTTATTAAACATCACAGTGTTCACTGCCTTATTAAACATCACAGTGTTCACTGCCTTATTAAACATCACAGTGTTCACTGCCTTATTAAACATCACAGTGTTCACAGCCTTATTAAACATCACAGTGTTCACAGCCTTATTAAACATCACAGTGTTCACTGCCTTATTAAACATCACAGTGTTCACTGCCTTATTAAACATCACAGTGTTCACAGCCTTATTAAACATCACAGTGTTCACTGCCTTATTAAACATCACCGTGTTCACAGCCTTATTAAACATCACAGTGTTCACTGCCTTATTAAACATCACAGTGTTCACTGCCTTATTAAACATCACAGTGTTCACAGCCTTATTAAACATCACAGTGTTCACTGCCTTATTAAACATCACAGTGTTCACTGCCTTATTAAACATCACAGTGTTCACAGCCTTATTAAACATCACAGTGTTCACAGCCTTATTAAACATCACAGTGTTCACAGCCTTATTAAACATCACAATTCTATGGACCGCACCACTGAAATAGAGAGGGCATCACTATGTGTGGGAATCAAATATCATAATGCTTTTGTCAAGGGAATAACTTTATAAGCATACAACCCTGGATGCATGACATTTTCATCTATGCCTGACTTGTCAAAACTTTGAACGAAGCAAGTCCTACAGGACAAGAATGGAAGCAGTGATACCTGCAATGCCTCTTCCAGAGTATGTCTGTACCAAAGGAAGCACCACATAATCACATCCTCACAAGCAATGTGTTTAAAGGGAGAACACTCTGTCTCACTTAAATGCAGCAGATTGAAGATTTTATAGGGGATTCAACCGTACAAACCCTGGTAGTTATTCCCTGTCTTTATCTGTTACAACTTTGGAGATTTCGTTACAACAAATCAACACATTTCATTAAGGGTTGACGATACAGTGGAGTTACAACACTACAACCCTGTGATAGGAGTCTATGGTTGTTGCCCAGTTGTAGTTATTCTGTCAATGGCAGGTTTACAAATCTAAGCATCTTATTAATAAACTATGTTGCTAATCATGAAGTTGACACTAAAACTCTCATTTTGGTGGTGACACTAATTAACTTAATGAATAGGAAAACATTAAAACCTGGAGGAGACATTTTGACTTCATAAAAGATTTCCTTCACCGGAATATAGCACTATGACTTATCTCCCACTGATTGTCATTGGTGTCAACTGTCTGTCAAAGAGATACCACTACACACGTGCAAGGCACGAGTCTGTCTTGCATCATTGGTGTCAACTGTCTGTCAAAGAGATACCACTACACACGTGCAAGGCACGAGTCTGTCTTGCATCATTGGTGTCAACAGTCTGTCAAAGAGATACCACTACGCACGTGCAAGGCACGAGTCTGTCTTGCATCATTGGTGTCAACAGTCTGTCAAAGGGATACCACTACACACGTGCAAGGCACGAGTCTGTCTTGCATCATTGGTGTCAACAGTCTGTCAAAGAGATACCACTACACACGTGCAAGGCACGAGTCTGTCTTGCATCATTGGTGTCAACAGTCTGTCAAAGAGATACCACTACACACGTGCAAGGCACGAGTCTGTCTTGCATCATTGGTGTCAACTGTCTGTCAAAGAGATACCACTACACACGTGCAAGGCACGAGTCTGTCTTGCATCATTGGTGTCAACTGTCTGTCAAAGAGATACCACTACGCACGTGCAAGGCACGAGTCTGTCTTGCATCATTGGTGTCAACAGTCTGTCAAAGAGATACCACTACACAGGTGCAAGGCACGAGTCTGTCTTGCATCATTGGTGTCAACAGTCTGTCAAAGAGATACCACTACACACGTGCAAGGCACGAGTCTGTCTTGCATCATTGGTGTCAACAGTCTGTCAAAGAGATACCACTACACAGGTGCAAGGCACGAGTCTGTCTTGCATCATTGGTGTCAACTGTCTGTCAAAGAGATACCACTACACACGTGCAAGGCACGAGTCTGTCTTGCATCATTGGTGTCAACTGTCTGTCAAAGAGATACCACTACACACGTGCAAGGCACGAGTCTGTCTTGCATCATTGGTGTCAACTGTCTGTCAAAGAGATACCACTACACACGTGCAAGGCACGAGTCTGTCTTGCATCATTGGTGTCAACTGTCTGTCAAAGAGATACCACTACACACGTGCAAGGCACGAGTCTGTCTTGCAAGACGAAAGTGGAAGCAACGATTCATGGTGATGTCAGATTGTTAGAAAACTAAATATTCTTAGTTTGGAAGCAAAACATGATTATTTGAGCTAAAAACCAAATGTTCAAAAAGCAAATGGCACCTCAATATTCCTGCAACATTACAGCATGGCAATAATAAACACTGGACGGGACTACCCAATGGCTGATAGCATGGGCAACCATCAACCATCATTTACATTCAGCCAGGTCAGACATTGTAAGCTCCTGATAATGATGAACATGGGCACTGAGGACCTATTCTGTCTCCGAATCCCCATGTGGAACGAATGATCCAGAGTGTAAAAGCATTGTACAGCCTCTGGAATAACGTACGCTATTGCACCTTGATAAAACATCTCTCCATTACAAAAAAGCTTTCTCTTAACTTCTGCTAGGATCACAAGATAGGATCATACAGTCCTAGATGACATATGCTTTTGAAGTGAATCTTTTAGAATAAAATGAACAAACTGAATTATTTTTCAGGTAATCAGGTGCTGTACTAAATCCTGTGCCTTGATTGAGTAAGCAGGTCGCACACACAACATGACTTTGCAAGAACAGAAACATATGTTGAGAGTGTGGATCGCCATAAATATGCTGGTGAGTCAGATTGAGGACTTGCAGCATATCACAACATGCTCTCCAACAGCCAGCTCCATATTCAGTCTCAAAAGGCATGTAGACATCCCTAGGTGTCCATGCTCTCCAACAGCCAGCTCCATATTCAGTCTCAAAAGGCATGTAGACATCCCAAGGTGTCCATCCTCTCCAACAGCCAGCTCCATATTCAGTCTCAAAAGGCATGTAGACATCCCTAGGTGTCCATGCTCTCCAACAGCCAGCTCCATGTTCAGTCTCAAAAGGCATGTAGACATCCCAAGGTGTCCATCCTCTCCAACAGCCAGCTCCATGTTCAGTCTCAAAAGGCATGTAGACATCCCAAGGTGTCCATCCTCTCCAACAGCCAGCTCCATGTTCAGTCTCAAAAGGCATGTAGACATCCCTAGGTGTCATAGGCAAAAGAATCCACTGCGACACTGCACAAAGTTTGTGTATTAATAAGCACTGGCAGATCACAGAATTTTGGCACCAATGATGTCATAATCAAAGGGAGATAACCCACTTGCTGTTTTATTGTCTTCTGAACAAACTGGTTTGCACAAATCGGAGTATTGACACAAGGAGATGAGAGAGTCATGAAGTTTGGCACCAATGACGTCACCATTAAAGTGATAACCCACATGTTGTCTTTGTTCAAAGGAAAATAATTTGCAACATCATACATTAAAATCGGCACAAAATTATCAAGTCTATTGAACATTTAGCATGGACATCATTAGAAGCATATTTCATTCCAATAAATTTGTTCAGTGTAAACACCAACCCCTACTTGTGTCGGTCTCATCGGATTCAAGAAGTCAGGAAGGGCAAGCTAACAACACAAAATGGGAAACAACAAAGGCATCTTTGAAATACAGATAATGAGGTTCCCAATGCCAGGACCAACAGGACACCATCCCCAGAACTGTACTTGGTCAACAGATGTTGAGTTGATCAAGGATTACAAATCTTAAAGTTGGGTCAGTTCCCAGCCGTGGCTACTTCATTAGCATACACAAATCTACATGCATACATAACACTAAGTTAATGATCTTTCAATCACAATAAAATTTGCATGACTGATAAATCTTGACTGTGGGCCCATCCAAAATGATCACGGACCCCTCGAGGCAATTACATATATGTATACCCTGATGTATAAGCCCCCTCTATAGCAGTGTTAGGGGACCTGTGACCTACAGGTTAATTACAGGAAGGCCGACTGTCCAGTGATAGGCAACCAAGTGGCCGATAACATTGACAAATTCCGGGGCTTCAACCTGGAGAAATTAATCAAGGGGCTACAGCCTATGAAAGAGCCGTTTATCAGCTTGGGCTAGAGATTACAGGCTGGCAGAAGATTCCTTGTCACTCTGCTGGTTTGGAAAACATAATCCATGATGTAGGAGACATTGAGATGCTGGAGAGCTATCAAATCTGCAAGAATCCTGGCAAATGGATGGCAGATGCACAGCTAGTTAAAGTCTTTCAATTAAAATGCTGAAATTTAATCAGCTGACATCAGCTAGGTTAAGAACCCCATTGATTGTTATCATTATCACTTTGCTCAGTATTTAGGACTGGTTAAAATTGATTTGAGTGAAACATGTTTAGATGGGGTAGTGAGGTGAGGTGAAATGGGGTTTAACGTCGCGTCCAAGATTATTGCACATAATATAGTGACGTGCATTCATGTGTGTGTGTGTGTGGCTGCTTGTACTAGTCCGGACTGATGCCGATTTATAGTGCTAGCCCACTGAGATACCATGCCGCAGTTTAACATGAATACCCCACTCAGACACAGTATACTGACTCCGAGCCGACCAGTCCTTGTTTTAGCCCCTTAATGCCGAGCGCCAGACAGGGTATCAGCAAGTACCATCTTTTAACATCTTTTGGTATGACGCAGCCGGAGATTGAACCCTGAACCCCCTGCTCTCCGGGCGGACGCTCTACCACTAGACCACCAGATATTAGAAATATCTGATATTTTAGCTAAGTGCCAGTAAGGAACATTGGATCCAGGCCACAGCAAGTGGAGGCAACTCTTCATTTAT